GAGTCCTGTTGTCGCTTTCAATATTATAGCACTTGTATGTAGACATTCATGAACGTGTGTGTATGTGTGCTTGCGTGTGTGTGTGTGTGAGAGAGAGAGAGAGAGCGAGTGTGTGTGTGTGTGTGTGAGAGAGAGAGAGAGAGCGAGAGTGTGTGTGTGTGTGTGTGTGTGTGAGAGAGAGAGAGAGAGAGAGTGAGAGAGAGAGAGAGAGAGAGAGTTTGAAAATACACCACTCAGACAGAAAATACTGACTCCAATACTAACAGTCCTTGTTTTCTCCCGTTATTGCCGACCGCCAGGCAGGGTAACAACATGTAGCATTTTGGATATGACCAGGATCGAACCACCATCCTCTCGCTACACTGACAGACACTGTGTCCACTGAACCAACAAATATCGGAACTAATTTCAGCCTATACATATGATCGGCAACCGAACTAACCATGCAACTTTAAATTTGAGTGTAGATAATATTTTTCGATAAGAACTCGATTAATGACATGTAAACAAGGAAGTAGTGAGTTATATATAACCTTCAAGTGTCTCCCAATGTCTCTAATCCCAGTATGGAACCGACACAGGTATTATAGTCAGCGCAAGAGAAACACATGCATTGAAACTACTACGTGTAAACGTTCATGTTAATCATAATGTGTTTCCCAATCAGGTACAATTATTTTAATGCGAAATTTGTGATATCATTAAAATATCAGTTTCTTCTACAATTGTGTTTATATTTATGCATGGAAAAGTCATCACTTGGTCACTTATGTCTGCGTTAACAAAGAACAAAGCAAGGCAAAGAGATATATATTTGACTCAATTTGCATATCGCCCATGGCAAGTCTGTTTGTCTACAGTGATATCCCTTTAGTCAGGGCACCCATCACTTTATCATCATCAATAAAGTACATTTTTCCATATTGTCAGATATTCCGGAACCTGGCTGATTCGGATGGTTTAACATGTAACGTATTGTTCTGATTGAAGAGGTTTCTCTATACTCACCCAGTAGAATCAAAGATGACAGGTACATTGGTTAGCGTTGTTTCGCACAAACTTGGTGGCTTCAACGATTTTCAGTGATCCATTCAAATGCTGTTCATCAATATGTTGCCCTCTACGATCAATGGAATGTTCTGTGACAGATAAACAAGACTGACAGCTCTCTGCTGATGTTGTTATATATTTACATTTTGTCACATCGTACACTTACTACACAGTTGGTCCTATATACATTCATCAATTTGTAATTTAAATAAGAGTTTTTCGTTTAGTGCTACACCTTTAAACAAATTGACCTACTTCATTTCGAATTATTCTAAAGTGTCACTGAAAGGTTCTTATGAGATGATTGTGTATTAAATTGGGCTTGAGCAGCTTCTAAAATATGACGCATTGTGTGACCCTGGCGGATATAGATGGATGAAACAAGAGATGAGTGACATCTCCCGGCGTGTGTATTCTGTACAAGGAGTACACCCGCCCTAGCCTCAACATCATTGATCACTGCTGGGGGTCAGCGAGAGAGTGAATCTACCTCTGTGTTTCACAAGAATCACCGCGCTGTACGGCCCTATACTGTACCGTACATATGTACCAACACTAAATGGTGTCAGTTGAGAAATGGTGTCCACTCGTCCCACTAAATATAAAACATCAACACCAGAGATTATCCGATGAAACAAATTCAAATGACAAAATAGTGGTGATGATTATATGAAAGGGTCTCTGAAAATCAATAACACCTGGTGTTCTATGAGAAAATAAGCATGCCCTGCCCTCCCGCTAGTACTTGCCACACACATGTCTTACCATATATGTGCAAATACAAACGAAATATTATCACTTTGGCCCTTTATCGTGTTTGTCAAATATTATGTTTGTCCTGAAAACAGGCTACCACATCATCTTTGATAAATTGCATCAGCAACAACCATTTAAGTGTCACATCGGTGCGCTGAGTGGTGCATAGCTTGCTCCACTGTGTATGAACATGTAATTGGGGCAATTAAAGCATTTGAAAGTTTGTAAATTGTTGCAGTTAGCGCATTGCCCAGTGTCACCATGACGGTATGTACCATTGTTCGTTCCAAAGGTATTGCTTTATATATCTGTATGTGATTACACATGATTGTACTTTCAAGCATATTATATTTTTAATATTACGGTTTGTACATATGCAGTTCATGTCAATATCACACGTAACGTGAAATCAAATCAAATCAGCGATCGTTACACGATTTTCAGACATGCACTGAGTGATACATGGATCAATGTATTGATATTGATTAGACATGAAAAATGATCGATGCACACAAATTTTAAATATTTGAACAATTTGATCATTTATTATATGAAAATTACCTAACTCAGTTGTTTATCTCACGAATCCCTCTATCGGAAATGTCCGATATTATAATTTCGCAATACATTCATACCTTCAGTAAAGTTCAAATTACCATCAAAACCCGCGTATGGCTTTTCCCACAGAGCGACGCCATACACCAGAGAAACACACATGATGGTGATAAATAGCGCTTGGTCTGAGGTTATGCGTCAGAGTCACTCTATACCTATGTGTCGGAGCTATCCAGGCATCGCCATTGGTATATATCGAGTTCTCTTTATTATGTGAATCCGATCCATATACGCCAGTGATATATATGAATTGACTCAATGACGAAGTATGTCAATCTGGACTCAATTCACAAAATCCAGCATTGTTAAAATAATTTGGATTAAATAATTAGTTTAATATTATAACTTCAATTTTCTTTTTACTTCCGGTGATATTTATGTACACACTATGTGTTTTATGCAGTTTTCATAATCATCTCAACTCGCCCAAATCTCATGTGTCATGCATGGTAGCGGTAGTCGTATGTTTGTTGTTAAAATGTACATGCAAAATAACAGTAAATTTATTCATTGAATAGATCGATTTATTTCATAAGATTATAAAATCAGTAGGTCTTGTGTGCATGCATATTCCTACCATAACATTTTCAGGTATGTTCATAGGTTGGGGGAAGATGCCTGGTTTGTGTGTGTGTGTGTGTGTGTGTGTGTGTGCGTGCGTGCGTGCGTGCGTGCGTGCGTGCGTGCGTGAGTGTGTGTTTAGGCTGGGTTTCTTTCTTTGGGTGGTAGGAGGAACGATGTTGTCCAGCACGTATTAGCCCGTGATTGATTGAACGCTGTAACATAGGATCGCTGTTAATCTTCCCTGATGTACTTTTTCGGCGTGCTACTGAATTACAATTAACAACGTCTTTTCACATCATGGTTAACATACATTTTGCCAATGAATAAGGTATATCTCATTTTATATACTATATGCATTGAACACTAAACACATATTTACACATTGCTCTTCCAAACCGGAAACAATGTGGTATCAAGTCCATGATATATAATTTACGCAAACATTACTGTTTACAATAATGGTACAGATTATATGTAAAAGTAGATAGCGTTTTGTTTTCATCAACAATAAGAAGTGTACACACGTGGATATGTACATTTTAGTGTCAATATCGAATACGCCCGCACTCGTGTCGAGTTTATGAAGCCCGTATTGTCAGTTTCTTAAATAGGTGTAGTGCAACGTGACACCATGAACCAATAGCCATACGGTCAAAATCTTCACGTTGTTTGCAAATTATCTGATTACAATGGTAGTAAAGTTGATGTCCGTGTACAGGTTGCGACACCACCCAGGCTCGATTGAACAATACTGAACATAGCCACGCTGCGACGTGTGCCGATCTGTACCAGTCTCGTTGTTAGAATTATAACCATGAATTTAACGATAAATGAAACGGACAGTTTTGAACGAAATACTTGCTGTTTTTGACAAGTTCAAACGATGTGCATTTTTGTCGTATAATTCTATAAAATGTACATTGTGATTTGTACAAACAGACTGAATGTTGATATCAAATCAAACCTATACGAATGAAACAGACAGTTCAGAAAATGTGCTGTAGATGTAAACGTATTTACTGACACTCATTCTGATGTAAAACTTACGGTTTGTTCTTTATATGGGTACGTCGCGTTATGTTTTCACTGCACTGCACTGCACTGCATGTCAACTGTAAAGTTTAAACATAATGTCGATATGTTAAGTTATTTTATACTTTTAATGAGATAATTCATATAATGTAGTTGTAAGTATGAAAGTCTCACTGTGCTGCAATATATGGTTTCATTCCTTCGAATGTATGCTGTACTCATATTTATCAATATAGTGAATCTGCGTCTGTATTGGCAACTTACAGTCATATCGTTTATGTAACAAAATAACGAAAATAGTATCTAAATACACATATCAACGTGAGCCAGTTCCAATTGATGCGCATATACCCTAAATCATCTGATTTTCGTCGATCAGAATTCATCGCAATTCATGACAATCAACCAGATCGATTTCTTTCTCAATAACATTGTACATTTCCCAACACTGTAGAAAAACCCGCGTCCAGATTGAAGACTGTAGAAGACGACGAAATACTTGCAGTGGTGAGCTATCCCAACCGACAAACTGTGGCGAAAGTCACATGTATCGTTCATGCTAAACCACGCCCACTGTTAGCAATGTCCTGCCCACGAGATGTCAATTTCAGCTTGAACATATCATACGCTTTCGTAGTTATTGAAAATTATTTCATGCTATGATACCATGGCATCAGTAACGACCGATGGCACTTAAAGACAGCTGAGGGTTGCCGTCCAATCCCTGCCCCACGGGAAACAGGAGGAGGATATGTCTTGAGGTCGCTCAATCGAAAGTTGAAACTATCGCAACATCGCTAGCCAATCACGAGCGCTCTCGCATAGCACTGACAAGCCGCGCGATAGCGTGGCCCAAGCTGGCATGAGAGGCATAGCAAAACAAAGCTTTTAAGTCGGTGGGCGGGGTTTCATTAGCAGACAGGAAACCGACTCTGTGTCGGGCATTATACTGAAACGTTTGTCTTCGTATTGCTTGTACACAGGTTGTGTGGGACCTTGCAGTCGGGAAAACCGAACTGCTATCTGGCCGACGCTTTGAGGGAGGACTATCAGATAACATCATTTCAGGAGGCAAGTCGGGATCCCAGCACTAGACCCGATATTCACAGTGGAAACACAAACTCGAACATGGATCCTTACCCGTATGCAGGTAGGCTTGGCTTGTTTTGCATCGAATGTTTCCTATTTTCGTGTTAGTGTTTTATGTAACTATACCTAACTTTTTAAGGCGCAGGAGCCAAGATGTGTTAGTTGTATGGTTGACTTATAGTTATATTTACACAGTTGACATAAACAAATGTTATACTTGTGATATGACATAAATAACGATAGGTTTGAAATTGAAGTCGATTACTCAAGTATCTTACACACATGTTCACTTCAGTGAAATTAACATCGACATGTGTCAATATCCGTGCAATTAAAGTAAGTTTATTCCAGAGCTGATTAAGTTACATACATGCTAATTTACATAAACATTTGTCAGATAACATCAGCCCCGTGATTAAGTGTGATATACCGGCTCAGAGATCCCATGAAGTCATGTTAGTGTAATGTTGTCCAAAGGACGACAGTCATTAACAACGCTAATCACTCCCAGGCCTCTCAGTAATCAGTTGTACATTGCGCTAGCTCTCCCTGACTGGGACATCGACTTAATTACTTCACTGAATTTAATCGACTTATTAATGCATTTTATTAAGAGACTTGCGTAATTTGATCACTTTCTCGACAACACGAAAAGCAATTCTCATCTCTCGCTTAGGTCGTGCTAGTTCTTGAAATATGATGGCGAAGCCCTCATCCCGAAATCGAGCCGAGGTAATGATATATTTCAAGACAGAAGAATGACAGTTTTGCTGATAGCGGGTGATTTTGTCGCATCGCCAATGTGAAGGCATCAGACTTTTGAAGGGGGAGGTGATTACCCCGGCTCAACCCTATAACGATATTTGCAATATTAAATTAGTTATTATACCGAGGTTACCAGGAGTCAAATATTGACTGTGTTTTGAAACAGCTGTTACCAGAGAGTCGGGGATGAGAGGCGTTTGAAACAAACACGTGTATATTTCAACGGATTAAATCGTAGAAAGTGATATGATAATAACAACGTCAGTCAATTTTGGATTTCAAACATCATATTGGTGAATCATGGCCAGATATGATGTTGCTATCGATTTATTTCAGTGGCAATATATGATTCACATTTCGAAACAAGAATTGAACCGACTCAACCATTTGTCAGTGGACACAATGTATTCTGAAATGTCATCTATTTCTTTATGAACATGTAAATGAAATGTAATTAATAGCATGAAATATACAATGATTGACGCATAACACATTACATGATGCATCCATACCCCCCTGTGATCACATTTTACATGTTAAATTAAATAAATATACGTATTATTTTTAAGTAGTCCTGGTATGATATTAGATGTTTTACATTTCACACTGGGCAATACTATGAAATAGAACACCCAATGTAGATAACAACATGAAATAGACGTGGTTCCATGTGCTATTCATATCGGCGTGTTACACTCTGCTCACAACTAAATATGTCAGTGTACCAATAGTTTAAGAACTTGGTAGAAACGATATCAAATATCAGGCTCTCAGATTTCACTGCTAATACTGATTTATTCGTCAAAAACTTTGTGAATATAGAGAGAGAAGAGACAAGTGTTCAGACCAAAACCGCTCAAGTTACCCAAATCTATTTGCAATCGACACATGTCCTAATATCGTAGGATAAAGTGTCAGTTGACGTTGGAAAACAAGATAGGTGAAATACTACACCCCAGCACAGAAATATTATCTCTGAAACGGACAATTGTAAATTTCAGCTGTAAATGAGATAAGGGCTTGTATATTAACATGCACCATGCGGACAGTATGACAGTTGCAACTGACAACAGAGAATATGAAATATCAGATTGCTGGTCCACCGTGTATAATTTCTCAAATGAAACGGACCAGGTTAAATAAAACACTGTTTTCATATCGTCAGTTCCACGACAGGTCAATTATTTGTCAATGTTTTTATGCCATTGTCAAGCAATATAATAGGCCGAAGGGACGTAGACACATTCATAGGCACTGTGTGATGATGACTCGGAAGTGAAATTGACATATGCTTTGAAGAACAACTGTATTCGAAAAAGCAGAACCAAATAACAAAAACTGCGTATGTTGTATATATTTTCATTAAAATGTTTTACAATAACCTCATTACCTTAAAAACTGGCGTTCCGCTTGTGTTGGTTGTCATTAATCATATCATTATGTCTTTGACTCGAAATTGCAATAACCATACATTTTATTGATAAAATGTTTGGGGCAGAAAAACATATAGCAATTAACTTTTATCATCGCTTCCATTTACCCGGAAACACATAAAAAAACGCCAAACAGTAATATAATATCTATAGGTATGTTAGCTATAAACAACAAAACGTATATTACCAATAAAACCCAGTTCGAATTGTATCAAAATTGAAATGAAATATTGAGTTAACGCGAGATATGTCAAACTTAATTTGTTTTTGGTTTCTAACTGAAATACTATCTAAAGCAAAAAATGTTCATCACTCAAGAAATATTTATCTCCTATTTTACATCTTTACTCAGTTAACAAACCACGTCGGTCAAACAATACCTCTTGAACTATAAATATTAAACACAGATAGTCAACTCAATGTTCCGGGTGAATACTTTATCGAGTGAGATGCGTTTCAAATCAAATACACATATTTCCCTCTGTGAAATCGACACCATGATCTCGATAAGGATGTCACTACAGGAGATGTACATTTCATTCCGACTTCAATAAAACAAACGCATACGCTTAATCCTTTGCTTGATTTATACACTGGGTAAATGTATGTTGTAACTTCTATATCTCCCGGGTTTCTCACGGCATCTCGCAGGCTGCGGCTACATATGTACATCTGTTCTCTTGCTGTCAATTCCATCACCTGTCTTGTACATATCCGCAACGTATTTCACCCTATGTGTGTGTTCCAAAATATGACGGACAGATCCAGAAATGTAATTTTCTTTGTCGTTGTTTTTTTTTCTCCTGAAAAACATATGGAGCGAACCCTTGGTAATTAACATGGGCCGTGAATTGGCTTCGTGTAAACAAAATGCGTGTTAATTTCATGTTAATGCATGTAATACTTGTAATACTTGCTCATTTCAGATATTCTCGCGCGTTAAATCTGAGCCTTAAACCCAAACCTTGATTCAAAACACGTAGCGTATTATTCAAGCACACCTAAAATGAGTATTCTGTTCAATATTTTGTTTTGAAATGTATATTGCTTTTGGCTCAATATTTCATACAAATGAAATCATTAATGTACACAGGAAGATTCTGCCACCAACAAACGTTATGTGTTTTTATAAGCATCTATATTTATGAAACAAATTCAGAGTCAAGTACTATATCAGCATGTTTCTCCAGCTGTTAAAACGTATGTATGTTTTATAGTTGCCTCAATAAGATGAGTTAATATTTAATAGTGACATTGATTTTTCTGTGTAGTCGTGTGTCTGTTGTTGATAGGGCATAGCATACGTGCAGTCTGAGTTGTGTTTAATATTTGAAATATAATCCTATAATATTTGATTTATGGGCATGATATATACGCGAATTTTTTAATTCTAACATGCAGTGGTGACATACTTGCATGTCGTGGCCTGAACATTGACAAAAAAAAGTACATGACATAGACGTCTAGACAATATACATGTAAAACAATATTGAATAGGGCATTCTGTATCTTGGTTGACTTTTTCTCGATTCGGTCGCCCTCAACAGGCCTAACTATTCATTCGTTTGAACAATTCAGCTACGCTACGTCATAAAGCCGCACGTCCAATTTGAGGTGAAATTAACCAGAAATGTACATGGTTGTCAATTGCGGCCATTGACAAGCCCAACACAGTCGCGGTCTGTGTTAAATTGGTGATAGTTACTCGATTTAGGACGCCTACCAGCAAAGACTAACTTCCACGCAGGGAATATAAATATGAATGAGCTGTTTCTGTTGTGATGCTATGCGCATTGATAGGAATACATATCACTATGGTCAATTATATACAAAAGTTGGAATGCACACACATCTGTGTCCATTTCAGTAAGTCTCTGTATATCTACACGGATTACAACCAATACAAATTGTACTTTAAATGTATTTGAACAAGTACAACAGCACGCACATCTGCTTTCGACATGTTCACATCTTTACAACACTCTTTCAAATAAACAGTCATATTTCTATTTCAAAGTTATTAACTTCGCTGTCCGTTTTAATACACGTATGTCTAAAAAGTGATAACTATTAGCATACTGTAACCATATCGTACAATTAGGTACAACATAAATGTATTGCACAGTTATTATTTTACCGTTACCTATTAACATATACACGGATATTTATGTATTACATTATCGTATAGACACAGAACATTATGACCTTTGGACCATGTGTTACTGAAAACTAATTCCTATAAATATTATTTTCTTAATTATCCTCCGGTAAATAAAACGCACAAATCAAAATTCCCTTCTCCCCATTATAACCACCCCCTCGCGCGCGGCATACAAGCTGCCGATCTTAACTTATCGATGTAATTAAAAGAGCGGGGATTCTTCCAAAATCTTCCAAAGAGAAACAACTTACCGCTTCGTTTGTTTACTGTTATGCGTGTTTGGTTTGAAATCTGCAAAGTAAAGTCTATGCCTTGGCGAAGACGTATTTGAGTGTTGGTAAAAAGCGAGCTCATGTTATGCTATGATTTGGCAGTGTGTACATTTGGTTCAGCATTCTATTTGTACGTAAATCTAGGTCGATGAGGCACTTAGCTGCGACAACCAAACAGATAAGTTCGGATTTTGTCGGTTAATTCCGCCAGCTCACGGAATACCTATCCAATTAGCACAGCATGGTCTTGTTTGACGTCTATTGGAGCTAAAGAAACTAAACATCGCCGGACTGTATGTGACTGTATTTGCTTTAGTTCTTTCTAACGATGTTGTAAACACTTTAACAGCATTTCCTTCTATTTGTTGATAGACAAATCACGAAGAACGTTCTGCGTTCTATTTCTAGAATACATCTAGGCACCCGGATA